AGTCGTTTTGCCGACCGGCGATGACGTCGAGGAGCGACGACTTGCCGGCGCCGGACGGGCCCATGAGCACGATGAGTTCGCCGGGGACAGCAACGCCGCTGACATTGTTGAGAATCGTCTTGTCGTCGACCGACTTGGTCGACGGGTTCTTGACCTTGACGACCTTGGTGACGTGCTTCCACTCGAGCGTCGTCTTGGGAACGTCGACGAGGATGTTGGCGCCGGCCTTGGGCGTCGTGACCGTGATGTAGTGCTCGTCGGCCATGTTGTGAAGGAATTGAAAACTGAGAGCGATCCAAACAAACCGATTTGCGCAGAAAGCCAGTCGGACGTTTGTTCCGGCATCGGCTGTAGCCAACAATACCCTAATCATTGATCGTTGATTGGTCGTTATCAACACGTGGCACCCACGTCACACGGACTCTAATGGTGTCTCCGAGCTCTCGGAGACCTAGAGCGCGTAGTGGAGCGCACGATTAGCCTTGTTGAGTTTAGTTTTTGCCAAGGATTCCATTTGATGCCAGCAGCTACGACTCCAATCCTGGGGATCTGGCAAGGCAGTGCCACAAGGTCGGAAGTGCCAATCTGCCATGTCCCACGGAACACACCAGAAGGATCTTCCGGAGCGAGGCGACTGGCGTCGAGTGGACCGTCGACAGTGACGTTGGTCACACGACGGTCTGCTACAGCGCGGCCACGTGGAGCCAAATGCACCGCGTCGCAGGTCGACGCGGGCTGTTTGTGCAGTGCTGTAGTAAAATCAATCGTGTAAAATCATGTCTTGCCTTCTTTCGTCGCCGTTTTCGCATTCCTTACGCTGTTGAAATGATGCTTTTAAAACCATCGAGCGGCAGGTCGTTGCCTTTTTGAGCGCTGGATGGGGTACACTCCAATAGCAATATAAGTAGATCAGCTATAATACTAGTATCGCAAGTCAGACTTCGCTGGTCTTGGTAATAACATTGGTCTTGTACCGATGTTCTCAGTCCCATCCATGCTCACCCAAAACGCGATCTTTCGCGCATGTTGACGGCCGATGGTGATTGGGGCGTCATGCCGAGCCTCAATCCGACACCTGAGCGACTGAGTGGTCGGAAAATCCATCCAAGCACGCGCCTGAAGCTGCATTTCTCCTTTAAACCAAACCGATTAGGAGACCCTAATTGCCCCTATGGCACCAAAGCATGTGACCAGACACCTCGAGGCGAAGGAGAAGATCCAGCCGCATAGCTCTCCCGCATACAAGGCCAGCACTGCACTGTGAACACGAATCTCTGTACACTGTGAATCAAGATGATAACGATGGTCGACTAATCTACCTCATTAAGGGCTCGCTCTACACCTATACCACCGTAATAAGATCGCGTGAAAGGCCAGAGTACCGTCAACATGAACAAAGAATGTTCGACCAGTACACCGAATAATCTTGGGCGCCACGAGTGACGTCAGTAGAAGCAACGTTCGGACCTTCACTAGTGAGAAAGCGTGCACGGGTGTCATCATTTGGTGGCTTCTCACACTGCCACGTACCCTTCAGAAGGAAATGTTGGTCACACTATTTGCGTCGGAATCGCTCGACACGCAGCTGAATCCGAGCCCGCCTGTCCTCGCTTGCAGTGCAGTGGTGAACAAACACACACGTTGGTTCAACTAGAACTACGGGCTATTCCACAAGCTATTTGACACCACTCGACGAGGGGTGTGCTTCATTGTACCTCCGGCATGGACTACGAGCTTCTTCAGTGCACTAGGACTTCGTAGGTGTGCCCCTGGGTCCCTGGGTCTGCATCAGTGTTTGCAAGCGTTGGATTCGCGCAAAATATGTTCTTCGGCACGACACAAATTATTTAGCTTAACTATACTTTGCTCATTTTATCTAAACCGATCCTTCAATTCAACGTCGGATGTTGAGCGTAGAGTACCGTAGCCGTATTTACTTTTGCACTTGAGACTTTGGCCGACGCACACTTGGTTTGCCTTGGGGCACGTTGTCAGCTCTTGAGCGCACACCATCCAGCAATTGACACCGTTTTGTGTGCCCTTGTTCACGCAGCAGCCGTCCGACCGGCACTTATCGAGCGTGTGTTCGTTGTTGCAATCAAACATGCACTGCTCCTTGGTCTTGGGGCACGTCGGACCCGGCACCCAGAGACTAAGTTGGCACGCACCATCCATCGCCATGAGCTGGCGGCCCACCGGACACGCCAGCGACGCAATACCGATGTCTTCGTTGAGCAGGTGACGCTTGATCGACTGGCCGTACTGCTTGAACGTCATGCCCGTGTTGGCCATCTTGACGTGGCCCTGCAGCAAGAGCATGCGACCCGTGAAGCCGCGCATCACCGACGACGCCGCGTTGCGCGGCATGATCATGCCGTGGTTGACAGGCGGCAGCTTCAAGTCAAAGTAGCCCCAGTCGCGGAAGCCCTGGCCGATCATGACCGTGAGCTCGTCACGCTTGAGCGTCGGGCGCACGCGACGACCGTTCTCGCCCGGCAGCTCGATGATGAGACCCGTGCGCTTGTCCGGGTTCTCGACCGGCACGACAAGACCG